ATGCTACCTCGGTTCTTTTCTCGCTGTGTAACCTTAAGCAATTCGCCTCGCCTCCCTGAACCTGTTTCCTTATCTACTACATGGTTTTGGTAATATGTACCTCTCAGGGTTTCTGGAAGGTTAGGGACAATGTCTATATTAAGTATAATGCAGGGACCTACCAGGGTGAGTGCCCAGGCCCATCAGACCACAGCCCAGGCCACACCCACGGTCTCACCAGACTCAGAAAGCAGATGTTTAGGCCAGTGGCCTGCCACCACTGAGCCACAGCAGTCCTGTTAATGTGGGTTTATTGTTTGTTTGTTCTTTTTTTCAATTACAGTTGACATACAATATTCTATTGGTCTCAGGTATTAGACATTAAATAACTTATAAAGCAATCACCCCAATAAGTCTAGTACCCAGCTGGCACCATACATAGTTATGACAATAGTCAGCCCTGTTAATGGGGTTTATTTTTTGTTTGTTTGTTCGTTCTTTTTTTCAATTGCAGTTGACATACAATATTCTATTGGTTTCAGGTATTAGACATTAAATAACTTATAAAGCGATCACCCCAATAAGTCTAGCACCCAGCTGGCACCATACATAGTTATGACAATATTATTGATTACATTCCCTGCCATTGTCACTGCTGTTGAACCAGTGGTACCTCCTTGGAATGGGCTCCTAAAGAGCACCTAGTCCCACCTCCTCACTGGGCAGACCAGGAGACTGAGCCCCAAAGACCGCAGATGTTTGCTCAAGGCCACACAGCATGGTGGTGGCTGAGCCAGCACTGGAACCCAGCTCGTGGCATCAAGCCATTCGACCATCTGGAAGACTAAAAATAACGTGCTTGAAGTATGGGCTTTAAAGGAAGACAGACGGTTTGAATTCTGGCCTTGCACCTTTCATTCATTCAACAAATATTCATTGAGTCTGTGCTTGCTCAGTGCAGGGGGCACAGAGGGCCAGGTCCACATGGCCCAGCTCTCTCACCGTCTGGTGGGAGAGGCAGTGAACAAACAACCAATGAATAACAAGCTGATCGCCCACTGTGAAAAGGCAGCGAGGGACATAGGGCACAGGGCCCTGAGAGGGACAGGGACAGTGGGGCAGGGAGGCACCTCAGGGCATTCAGAAAGGACCTCTGAAGGAGGGGCCATCTGAGCTGAGACCCGGATACTAAGAAGGACCAGTCATACAGAGACTAGTGAAGGGCATCCAGGCACAGAGTGTGAAGCGATGAGAAGACATGAGGCCAGAGGGACACGGTCAGAGAAAGGGCAAAGGCAGCCCAGCTAGTGTGGCCCAGTGACTGAGTGTCAACCTATGAACCAGGAGGTCATGGTTCGATTCCTAGTCAGAGCACAATCCCCGGTTGCGGGGCTGTAACCCCAGTAGGGGGCATGCAGGAGGCAGCCAATCAATGATTCTCTCTCATCATTGATGTTTCTATCTCCCTCTCCCTTTCTCTCTGAAATAACAAAAATAATTGAGAGAGAGAGAGAGGGGGGGGGGCCATATTAGGCAAGGCCTCCAAGGTCAGGGCCAGGAGCTCAGCTTTTACTCAGAGCAGTAGGAGGTCACTGGAGGGTCGGAGCAGGCAAGTGATGGGACCTGGCTTATTTTTTTTCAAAGGATCACTGGCTGCTGCCATGTGAGGGACATTTGTGTGAACTTGGGCAAGATGCTTAAGCCTCTGAGCCTGATCGCCTCTCTAAAATGGGGGTAACAGAACCTTCCCCCCCCCCCCCGCCCCGCCTAGGTTTCACCAGAGGCTGGCATGACAACACACACAGAGCATTAGCACCATGCCCTATGCAGTGTACGCACCAAATAAAGCTTTGCTATTATACATCACTGTGTCCAAAGCCCTCGTCCTCCACCAGCGTGGCCTGCACCTGTTGAAACCATAGGTCCTTCCAATCCCATCCACACAGCCCAGCCTCCCACGGCCTGAGAGCACCACAGCCCATGGTTTTTTCTTCTTCCATTTCCAGGATGAGGCACCGAGGCCCACTGTGAAAAGGAGGCCCTCAGACTAAGGGCCCCAGAGCCCAGGGTCTCTGCTCTCTCCACACATGGCAAGGTAGGTTCTTGTTGGTTCTGGAGCCTATGCAATGACACCCTTATTTCTGCACAGCCCTCAGCCATGGGGGTGTCTATTAAACTCTTGTCCATCAGAAGACCACCAAGGGTGGTCAGCAGGATCCCAGTAACAGGGAGGCAGCCAGGGCCTGCTCTCAATTAGGGCCTTGGAAATGGCCTTAGCATCTATCAAAGTCACGGCTCCATCTCCTGGGTGCCCAGGATATATAACAGGTCCCAATCAGAGGCCAGCAGAGAGGCCGTGAGAAGTCATAATTGCCTTGGCAGGTTCCTACAGGAGATTTATTGTGACATAAAGAAACAAATTTAGCTGCTGGCAGTACCAGGCAGCTGGCCCATCCACGCTTGCAGGAATCCTATTTGCCGGGGTTGGGTGGGTAGGGGCTTCTACCCGACTCTGGCTGGGCCCGTGGACCATTCATCGTCTTGTGCTCCAGGCTGCCTTGTCCAAGAGGCTACCGCCTCTGACACATTTCGCAGCATTTGGAAATCAGTGCCCAGTTCACAAATGACTCATGTGGTGTTGCACCAAGTGATCCTCTGGCTTTTGACACCACCCAGATCATCCATAGAGCAAGATGATTAAAGGCCCAGGCTGCAGTCAGCCTAAACGTGGGCTCCGATTCAAGTCCAGACGCCGTCATGTACTGGCTGTGACTCTGGGGGAGTAAACTGCCTCTCTGAGACCCCATTTCCTCTTCTCTAAAAGGAGGAGGAGCGATGCCTACTCTAAGGAGCTGTTGTATGAATGAAGAGAAAAAGGTAGAAGGCATCTAACAGAGTAATAGGTGCCAAACAAAAAGCGGTGGTGACCATCTTTATTATCCACGGCCTTCAACATTATCCTATGGCAGGGGTCCTCAAACTTTTTAAACAGGGGGCCAGTTCACAGTCCCTCAGACCATTGGAGGGCCGGACTATAGTTTAAAAAAAAACTGAACAAATTCCTATGCACACTGCACATATCTTATTTTGAGGTAAAAAAACAAAACGGGAACAAATACAATATTTGTATTTGCATGTGGCCCACGGGCCGTAGTTTGAGGACCCCTGTCCTATGGGATGGCACTTATGGAGGGGCAGTGACTTTGCTAGTTTTTGGGGTTTTTATTTTTACCATGCTAGCTCTTTTGAAGCATCTTATCTCTACACTTCACCACCAATCCTGCAGGTAGCTATCGTTATGTTGATTTTCTAGCTTAGGAAGCAAAGTGGTTAAGGCACTTGAGCAAGGTCACCAGCTGGTGGAATGCGGAGCTGGGGATGGGATGCTGGCTTGTTGGTTCTGGAGCTAGTGCTCCTCCTAATACACAGCCTACCTTCCCAGCTCCTCGGAAAGGCCACTAGTCAGACAGATAGGCACAACCACACTTGCATCTTCCTTCCCTCCCTCCTCACCTCCCTCATGCCATCATTTCTCGAGCACCAGCTCCAAGATCAGCCCTTTGCTGGCCAATGAGCACAATAAAATGAATGGGATGCTGGCTTGTTGGTTCTGGAGCTCGTGCTCCTCCTAACACACAGCCTACCTTCCCAGCTCCTCGGAAAGGCCATGTAAGGCCACTGGTCAGACAGATAGGCACAACCACACTTCCAGCTCCCTTCCCCCTCCTTCCCTTTTACCCTTCCTCCATCCCTCCCTCTTCCCCTCCCTCATTCCATCATTTCTCGAGCACCAGCTCCAAGGATCAGCCCTTTGCTGGCCAATGAGCACAATAAAATGAACAAAGAAATACTTCTTGCCCTTGAGAAGGTCAATACCTGATGGGGCAAAGAGTAAAGCTGTATCCACATTGCCTGAAACACATGTATCAGTTAGTTTTTGCTGCATAACAAACAATCCCAAAAATGTATTGTTTTGTTTTAAAAGAAAGAACAATTTATTATCTCTCCCAGTTTTAGGGACAGTTTTTGCTAAGTTTAATCATGCAGCTACACTCACCTGACAGGTCGGCCAGGCTGGAAGTTCCAAGATGGCCTAGTTTGCAGGTCTGACAGCTGGTCTCTGCCATTCGTAGGTTACATTGGTACTTCTCCATGTGCCCTCAATCTTCAGGGAGGCTCACCAGGCTTTCTTACATAGCAGGGTTCCCGAAGGCAAAACAAAAGCTGCAGTGCCCCTTGAGCTTTAGGATCCAGAATTTGACATCACTTACGCCACATGCTATTGGTCAAAGCAAGCCACATTCTGTTGTTTAGCTAGTATCAGACATACATTCGTGACCTATCACGTAAGGTGGTTCAGCAGGTGCAGAAGGAGTGTGAGCAGGCCAGTCGAGCTAGGCGAGATCCTAATTAATACATTTTTAGTTCAGAGTAAAGGATGTTGTTTCTCAGGCTGGGAATGGGCTGAACCTGGGCAGCAGGACGACCGTCCCCAGATGTGTGTCCCCTCTGTCCCCTCTCTGCTGTGTGCTCATGAGTAGCCCTTTCAGCACACCTGGCACCATGCAATAAACTTAACCACAATGTCTTCTGCTCCGAACAGGATTGTCCCCATTTTACAGATGGGAAACCAAGACCTGGAGAGAACAGTTGACTTGCCACCCAGGGCCTCACGGCTGGTGAGACCCGTGTGCCTGACACCAAAGCCTGAGCCTCCCAAGCTGCCCCCAAAAGAGCTCAACCCAGGTCCAGGCCCCCAGGGGGGAGAGGCAGCTCTGGGACCCTCAGAGGTCTCAGGATAAAGCCCACTGCCCGGTGAAGAGGCCTGGGAGGAGGCAGCAACAAGCCAGAGTCCCTTGGAACCGCCTCTGCAAATGGAAGGACCCTGCGTGATGCTCTGGTCCATGCCAGACCAGCACGCAGGCCTCTGACCCCCAGTCCAGGGCCCGCCCACTGCACTGGGACGCCGGGGCAGGTGAGCAAGCCCCAGTCGAGCTGGTCATTCACACACCAGGCCGCTCTGTGGCATTCAGAGAGCACGTTTATTTACAAAGCACTTTACAAACATCAGCTTTTGCCTCCCCACAGCCCCCTGCGAGGTAGGTCAGTAGTCATATCTACAGTTTACAGATGGGGAATTTGAGGCACGGAATGGGGGTGTGGCCTGCCCCGTTGTAGAGATCTTCCCACCCACCCATCAAAAACTAAACAAAAAAGCATCGATCCTCCACTCCAAAACACACCTTCTTCCTCTGAACTCTCAGGGTTGGGAGCAGCCCTCACCTAACAGTGCTCTCTCCCCAGTTGGCAGCCTGATCGGGAGCCACAGGAACCTCAACCCCACGGGCTGTTGTTCAGCCTTATTGTTCAGACTGTCACTGGGCCAGAGGGAGCAGGGCCCGGCCAGCGAGGCCGGGAAGTTATAGGCAGAGGCGCCTGAGGTTGTGTCTCATTCTGCAGACGTTGGGTCAGGCAGGGAAGGGGCTTCGCATCGGGCAAGGGAGGGGTGGGCAGATCCTGGTTCAGGGAACTCAGAGCACATGTCAGGGAAGCAAAAGTGGAAGGGATCATGAGCAAAATTTCCCAGGGGCTACGGGGCGCAGCGCTGGAGGAGGGGCTGCGGTTCCGCCTGGGGAACCTCAGTCTGATGTGCCCACTGGCAAATCAGAGCAAAGCCCAGTCTCCCCAGGACCGCAGGGACTGGGCCAGATGGGATTCTAGATGCCAAAGCCCGACGCACTCCCTGCTCATGTGGAGCCATGCTGGGTGGAATGTTGGCCTGGTACACATCCCACCAAGGACTGGGATACAGTCACAGGGCTTGAGCCTAGTCCCCCCGAGCAAGCAGTTCTGAGCTCCTGTCACTCTGCCAGGCAGTGCCCGGCCTCTCGGCACAGGCCAGCAGGACCCCACGCAGGTGGGCTGGACTGCAGTCTTGCTAAGCTCCTCCTTGGCCCCCAGGCTGCCCACGGTACATTTGGCGCAAGGCCCTGCCCCCCGTGAAGGCAGCACCAAGAAGGCCCATCACCCACTCCAGTGCCTTCCCTATGGGTTGTGGTTGAGCAGAGTTGGGGACACAGGTCTTCCTCTCGGTAACGATGACAGGCCTGGCCCTGAGTGCACAGTGGGTGCTCCAGGCCAGGGGCCCCCGCTATCTTGACTCCAGCCCCTCCAGGTACTCCAGGGCCATATCATAGCAAAAGTGGTACTGATCCTGGGGAGAGGAGAGAAGGAGCCATGAGCCTGGGTGGAGGGGGCAAGCATGAGACCGGGCCCGTCTTGGGGAGAAGGGGAAATAGGGGACACATTTTGGCACCACAAGACTAACTGTGGGGGACCCGAGGCCCAATTGTGGGGACTGGATATGGGAGAGTGGGTACTGGGGGGACTGGCTGGGCATGGAGGTTGGAAGTGGCTGGGCACAGGGGACATGGCACCTCACCAGGGTCTCCACCATATTGGGTTTGTAGTTCCTAAGCGTTTTGGCAGCAAAGAAAACGTCCACCAGGTTGTGGCAGCGAATCATCTCCAGGACCGTGGCGCAGGCGCAGAAGGTGCCGCTGCGGCCACCCCCATTTCTAAATGAGACACAAAAGGTTTGGGGTAAGGCTTGGGGGAGGAGGGTGAACTCCAAGGTAAAGAGCAGGGCCAGGGTCTGGGAACCCAGAAGGGAGGGGCCGGGAGCCCAGAGGTGAGGGCAGGGCCAAGGCACCCGGAAGGGAAGGGAAGGGAAGGGAAGGGGAGGGAAGGGAAGGGAGCCCAGAGGTGAGCAGGAGGGTAAGGGGGCGGAGTCTGGGCCAAGACTGACATCCAAAGCTGAAGGTCTCTAGGAAGACAGCCTCCAGGAGACATGGCCGATTCTGAGAAGGAGGAAGGCATACTCCCAGAGAAAGAATGACAGCAACAGAGGAGGGCAACGGAGCAGCAAGCAAAACCCAGAGAGCAGGATGGGAAGTGAATACTGAGAATACCAGTCACCTCAGCAATGCAGACACGGGTGCAAACACAGGTACACCCTGAGTCTCCACAGCCTGTCCCTGTCCCTCTCCCTCCTCTGTTCCTGTAACTCAGGGTGTGAAGTCCTCTTGGGAGATGGGGGACTGGACAGGCCCTCATCCCTGTCTCTAGAGTCTCTCCCACTAGAACTGAAAGCCCGAGAGGCAGGTCAGGCCCGACCCGGCTCCCTCTCCCCGCATCCAGCATGCCCAGCCCGGGAAGGGCCAGCAAGTCTGAAAGCAGCAAAGGAGTGACTGCAGCAGACACGAGGGCATAAATGAATCATGGATGGGGCACATGAATTCATTAATTAGTGAGTTAGTTACTTACTGAAAGGGTGAAAAGGTTCTATGTGAGCATTCATGAACAAAGACCAGAAATCCACTGGCTTAAAACGTGTGCTACAGGATCACAGGACCCTGGCAGGGCCCTCATTACATGGGCAAAGTCAACCATCACACGGAGCACTGGGCAGTTCTGCAGGGTCAGAGCTGACTAGGATCCTCCAGGGAAGGCAGGGCCAGGTGTCCGGGAGCCAGGGGCTTTGGTGCCAGTCTTGAGGCCGGCCTCTCACGCTGGACCTTTCTCTCCCGCTCCCCGCCCCCTCCCGCCCGAGGCAGGCCCAGCACTCACAGGCAGTGCACGACCGTGCGCCCGTCCCCGCTCTCCGCCTGCCACCTGTCCACCTCGGCCAGCAGGCGCAGGAAGGCCTTCTTGGAGTCCGGTGTGTCCCGGTACGCGGACCAGCGCAGGAACTGGAAGTGCCGCACCAGCAGGTGCCCCTCCTGCAGCTGGGGGTGTGGGCAGCCAGCCAGGGGGACATGAGCACCGGGGTGACCAGGCCCCCGGCAACCTCAAGAAGGTCCCTACAGGCCACACCCACCGCCACCCCGCTTCTCACCCTGGGGCTCCCAGATCACTCACCCTCGAGATGTTCTGCACGCGGAAGACACGGGCCACCAAGTCTTCGTCCGCTGAGCCTGACACAAACTCCACCTCCATGAGGCCATACTGCTGCCGGCCCGGCTCCGGCCAGTACTGCAGGCATGGCTGGCGGCACGAGCAGGGAGACGGGCACTGAGCAGAGCCTCCGGGCAGCTGCCACTCACCCACCCCAACCTCCACACTTGTGCCGGGACTCCCATGCACCCTGGGCCACCCACTCACTCCGGACTCCTCTTCAGAGCCACCCACTCCCCACCACTCACCCACAACTGCATGCACACCTGCCCGGTGTGTTTGCAGACACACCCGGGGCAGCTGAGACAAACCCTTCAAAGTGGGTGCCCTGGTGCTCTAGCCACTCTACAGCCACACCTAACACACCTCCACAGGCTGCCTTCGCCCAGAGGCGCGCCTCATCGGCCCTCCCATCCCAGCAACCCCGCCCCCTGGTCTTCTCTCTCACTACTTCTGCCCTCCCGCATCAGCTCAGAGGTAGGGTATCCCTGATCCTGCGACACAGCTCAGCTCCTGCCCAAGACCACTCCATGGAGTCAGGGACCTACATGTATCCCCCTCTAGGCCACAGACTCGAGATAGCAGAGGGACAGAGGCGGCAGGGCCCCCCCACACACACACAAGTGCTCCGAGCTAGTCGGTCCCAGGCCCCAGCTTCTAGTCTCCGCTCTTCCTTATTCTGGGCCCAATTTTCTGCCTGTGAATTGGCCCCACGTGCCTCCCAGACAACTCCAGGCTCCACTGCTTCCCTCTCTGACCACACCTTCCTCTTTCACTCCCTTCCTCTTTCAGCCTGGGCTTCAGGCAAGTCCTTGCATTCAGGCCTTTGCACATGCTGCTCCCTCTCCATGGGTCACTCATCCTCCAACCTCCGAAGCAACTCACCCTCATCATCTTCATCCCTGCCATGTACTGAGAGCCTGTGTACTCGACATGGCCCAGCGCTACGCATCCTACCTATGTCTGACATGGTCCTGACAGTAACCCCATGAGCGAACAGGTGCCCTGATGGTGCCCATTTCACAGAGAAGGAAACTAAGGCTCAAACTATCTCCTAGATCGAACAGTCAGAAAGTAAGGAGGCTGGAACTTTTTCTGCCTCAAAGACCCCCCATGATGGGCAGTTTAGTTCAGCAACTAATCGGCTCTGGAAGGAGGCAGTGCAGAGTCGGGGCACAGCTCCGTGCTTCCCAGCTGTGACCTTGGAGACGTTGCTTCGTCTCTCTGGGTCTTAATCTTCTCACCTGAAGCCCATAAGTGCAAAGCAGAGTCCCTGGCACAGCAGGGACTTCATAAAAAGCAGCTCTTTTCCTCCAGTCTGACAATCTCATTTTACAGACAAGGAAACGGAGGCCCCGGGAGGGAGCATGACCTGCCTAAGGCCACTCAACCAATAGGTGGCAGAGCTGGGATCCAACCCCTGACTTTCGGGATGTGCCCCTGAACGCACGGTGGCATGGGTAGCAGGCAGCCAGCCCGCGGCCAGCAGGGCCCTCACCCAGGCGGAGTTGGACTGGTGCAGCTGGTTGAGCATGACGATGGAGGTGCGGAGGCCCTGGGAAGGAGCATGACCTGCCTAAGGCCACTCAACCAATAGGTGGCAGAGCTGGGATCCAACCCCTGACTTTCGGGATGTGCCCCTGAACGCACGGTGGCATGGATAGCAGGCAGCCAGCCCGCGGCCAGCAGGGCCCTCACCCAGGCGGAGTTGGACTGGTGCAGCTGGTTGAGCATGACGATGGAGGTGCAGCCGTAGTCGTAGACCAGCCTCCAGAAGTCAGGCGTGGTGCTCTGCAGTGGGTGCAGGGTCACGATGAAGGCTGCGCTCCGCGTGTAGCTCTGCAGGGAGACCAGGACTCAGCAGGGCCCCCTCCCCACCACGACATAGCCCGATCCTCTGCCACAGGCTGATACTCTCCCTACCGTCTACACAGCTGTGCCCCACAGGACCAGGCTTGCCGCCATTGGCCCATTTCACAGGTTGGCCACTACACTGACGCCTGAGCGGGCAGGGTGAGCCCCCAGACCTCTCCAGAGTCCACACCTATGGCTCCAAGGAACTAAACAGCAAAAGGTCCCCAAATGTGTGACAATGGGAGCTTCGGCCTGGTAGGCAGAGGCTGGCCAAGCCTGCTCTCTGCCTCAGGGCCTTTGCACATGCTATTCCTATTGCCTAGACCAAATTTCCCAAGTCTTTACACAGCTTTCTCCCTCACTTCTTTCTGGTCTTTGCTTAAGTATCACTTCCTCCAAGAGGCCCTCCTTAACCTTAACCTCATCAAAAATAGCCATACATGCAAGCCCCCAAAACCCACATTAAATATTTCTTCTGCCTGGTTGATTTCTGTAGAGATTACCAGTGTCTGACATTCTGTTGGATATTTGTTTAATAATTGTCTCAACCCATTCCCTAAATGCAAAGGTCAAGAGATCAGAGATTTCGGAGTGTGGCCTGTACCCAGCGGCCCATTCCCACCCAGGGCCAGGGAGCCCCAGTGTGACCCTCCCCAGCTCAGAGACCCACAGGACCCTCACAGAGCCTGCTGCCCTGCCCAGTGTGCACCCTGGGGCCAAAGAGGGGGCTGGGAGGAAGGTCGCAGATTCCTAAGTTCCCATCCAAAACTCTCTAGCACCCATGCCACCGCCCCAGGGCCCTGGCCCCCTCAGCAGGGGCATGCACACCCACCTACTCATGCATCCCACCCAGCTGAGCGACAGTGACTGGTGGGCCCCTCTCCAGCCACTCCCTTCAGTGGCTGGGGCTCCTCCTCCCCTGGCCTTTAGCTCACACCGGAAGCCCTTGGGAAGCACGCACGGGGGCTTCCCTCTTTAGAGAAACTCCCCTGTCCCCTGCACTATCCTGCCAAGGGACTCTGCCAGGAGCCAGGCCCCTCTCCCTCACACCTGCTCTGAAAAAACCTCCCTCTCCACATCTCATCTCCATGTGGAGGGACATCAGTGGTCGGCAAACCTGTGACTGGCCCACCTTCCTGCACTCCTCCCATGGCAAGTTTGGGACAAGGACTGAGCATGCTCAGCTCAGCCCCTTCCCCTCTTTTCCCAGGCCGCCTGTCCTCAGAAAGTGTGCGTTCAACTGCTCCTGCTCCTGCTCCTGCCTCATGTAAAGGCCTGTCCCTGGTGGGAAGGGGTGGCCTGTGGCTGCGCAGCTGTATCCGGGACAAGTCTGCCTGACTCGGGAGCGAAGGAGGAGCCGGTCCTTAGCCACATGTCGGAAGTCACATTCTCCGGTTTTATCCAGTCTGTCTCCTGCACCCACCTCTCAGCTGGTTCCATTTGGGAGAGGAATGGGGTGATGCTCACGGACTCTTCCCCCCTCAGACGGCAGCATCTTGGGGTTACTCCTTGGGGACTAAAGCCCCTGTTCTGCTTGCAACACCCAATGCAGGAGGTGGAGCCCCCAAGCTGGGAGCAGGGGAAGAGGCTTCTAGATGGCTCCTGAGCCCTCAGACCAAACCAGGGTGGGGCCAGGGAGCAAGTCACTATCCCAAGCCATGTCCTGAGCCCGGCTCCCACTCAATCACCCCAGCACAAGCTCCCCTGGCTCCAGACTCCAGGTCTCAAATCCCAACCCCAAACCCTCCTATCCTCCCAGCCAAGGCCCCCAAATCACTCCTACCCCAGGCTCTGCTTAGTCCAGTCCTGGAGACAGCCCTCCCTGGACTCCACCACCCAACCCCGACTCAGGCTAAGGGTAATACCTGAGGGGGAAACTGCCCTGGATGTCCTGAATGGAGCTCATTGTGGGTAGAAGAGTCACCCCTGAAAGGGCAAAGGGTCCCAGACCCAGAGCCCTCAGTTCTACTCCCTGGCTCTTGGACATTCCCACCTGCTGGCGGGGAGGCAGTCCCAGAGCCCACCCCACGCCCGAGCCCTCACGTCAGTCAGGGCCGCGTTGATGTAGTTGTTGGGGTCCCCATCGGTGGAGATGAGGAAGGGCAGGCAGCGGTCAGGCGGCAGGACGTCCATGCTGCGGTTCTTGTCTCGGTTGCGGGGCAGCAGGGCGATGCTGCACTCCTCCACGTCCAGTGGCGGCGTGACCGAGTTCAGCGTCTACAAGGAGTGAGAAGAGGAATGGGGGTGGCATCCAGCACTTACTGGGCCTCCTCGCAGCCCCATGAAGGAAACTGGGCTGAGTTATTCATCCCATCTCTGACTCCTACAGCACTGAGGACCTCCAATACACACACACACACACACACACACACACAGCTGCACTCCTCCACGTCCAGCGGCGGCGTGACCGAGTTCAGCGTCTACAAGGAGTGAGAAGAGGAATGGGGGTGGCATCCAGCACTTACTGGGCCTCCTCACAGCCCCATGAAGGAAACTGGGCTGAGTTGTTCATCCCATCTGACTCCTACAGCACTGAGGACCTCCAACACACACACACACACACACACACACACACACTCACTCACAAACCACACCTACATACCTACACACACCTATACATACGCACTCCTGCCCCACCTGGAACTCTTCCCGCAGCTGGGAGGAATTACTCTGAGGGTCAATACGGATCATCTCCTTGTAGGTGGCCTTGAATTCACTGACAGGGATGGTGGTCTCCCCACACAGGCAGGCCTCCAGGATTGCATCATGGATGAAGATATACTGCTCCTAGAACAGGAGGGAAGAATATGAAGAATCAGGAGGGGCAGAGAAGCTAGAAATTTGGGGTGGAGGCAGGAGGAAGCAAGCCCAAGGTTGAGGCACGGGCGTGCTGATGTGGAGTCCAGCCACGTGGTACTACAGGTTGGGCCAACCCTACTTGAAACAACCTTCATGGGTACGTTCACTTATATTTCATCCCTATAACAACCCTGTGAGCAGCTCTGATGGTGCGGGGACAGCCCAGAGCCACATCTAGCGAGGTGCAGACAGGTCGTACCTTGACTGCAGAACCTATGACCTTGGCCCACTGCTATTTGACCTCACCCAGCAGGACACAGTGGAGCTGAGTCTGGGAGACCCTGAGAGGTTGGCAGGGATGGGAAGGACAAGGGGGCATCCTAGGAAGGGGAAGGGCCTGAGGACACCCTTCTGATGCCAGCCTGCAGGACGCGAGTCCTGGAGAGGGGGCCGCATCCCCTACCTCAGTCTGGATCATGTTGACGCGCCGGGAGCAGAGGGTCTTCACGCAGTTGTAAATGTCCACGACACCCTCACACTCGGCCATGTCCAGCATCACGTCCAGAACGATGTAGCAGCCTGTGCGGCCAGTGCCGGCGCTGGGGAGAGAATGGCCCGGGACAGGTCAGGGCCTTGGGAAGGGAGCCCAGGTCTAGGGGGGAGAAAAGAGAGGCACCTGGCCACGTCTCCACCACCCAGGGGAGGGGACACAGAGAGACCCCCACCCCGGGCAAGGAAGAGCCAGAGAGAAAGCCTCGGAAGAGTGCTGGTGGAAGATGGTAAGGATAGAACTGGGGATGGGCCTCGGGGAAGGAGAGAAGGGAAAGGGGTAGGGAGAACGCAGAGGTGAAACTTAGCAACTTCGATCGGAGGGGAGGGACAAAGGTGATGCTCAGAGCTTAATCCAAGACTGTTCTTGCTCCCGGATATTCCTCCAATCTCCTGCACATCCCTCAAAGCCCCACCCACTCACAGCCCTTCCAGCAGACAGCATTCTTTCATTAAAGCACCCTTCCTGCCACGTGGTCGTTGGTTACGTGACTGTCTCCCTAGCCCGACTGGGAGCTCACCGAGAGCTCCGCTGAGTCTCATCCGTCCCTGGGATCTTGGCGCTGAGCACCAGGTAGAGCAAAGTTAAGGGCGGGGGAGGGGAGGAGGGGAGGCAGACAAAGATGACACCAAGATTTCAAGCTTGAAAGTAGTAGTATCGAAGTGTTGTCAGGGACATATAGCAACTGGGTCCCCCATACACTGCTGGTAGGGGCTTAAATTAGAACAACCACTTCGGAAACCCGGCGGTATCTACGAAAGCTGAATGTTTGCAGACAGCAATTCCACTCCTACACACATAACCTACAGAAATGCGTATGTATGTTGGCCACAAAACATGCAATAGAATGTCCTTAGCAGCACTATTCCTATAGCTCAAAACTAGAAACCGCCCAAACACCTATCAACAGCAGAACCAATAAACACATTGTGGTTTATTCATCCAGGCAAATAAGATACAATATGAATGGAACTTGGGGAACATAAGGTTGAGGGAAAGAATTCAGACACCAAAGAGCACCTGCTGTACGATTCCATTCACACCCAGTTCAAAAACACGCACCACCAACCTGTGGTTCGGAAGTCAGGACAGTGATTGGTCAGGACAGTGATTGGTCAGGACAGTGATTGGTCAGGATGGTGATTAGTCAGAGTGGGAGGAGGGGGCTCAGGGGCCTCTGGGTGCTGGTAATTTTGTTTCTTGATCTGAGTAGCGATGGTTATTTCACAGGTGTGTGCAATTTATGAAAATTCATGATGTCATATATACACTTATTTGTGCACGTTGCTTCAAGTATATTATTCACGAAGTTTTATTCTAAAAAGATGGTATCCTAAAGAAGCCTAAAGAAACCAAAGAGAAGCTGGTTTGCGGGTGGCAGGGCAGGCGGTGGCATGAGCCCGCTTTGTGGCATCAGGGGAGCTGATAAGAAGCCAAGGAGAGGCACCAGGACAAGACACAGAGGCCCAGGGGCCACGGGCCAGAGATGAAGCTCTCCAAGGGGATGTGGAGGGGGAACAGTTGGGGAAGGACCAGGACGGGGCACTGGGCCTCCACTTAAGAGGAAGAAGGAAGATGAGCAGAGGAGGAAGCAGAGCAGAGAGAGAAAGGCAATTGGGGGTCACGGGACTCAACCAAGGCAGGAGGTAGGAGAGCTGCGGAAGGTGGGAAGGCCGAGGGTGAGGAAAGCCCCTGGGTTTGGAGAAAAGAAGAGAAGGCCAAGTCCTTGCCAGCACCTGGGCCACACCTAGCCCGTAGGCGTAGGTGACACTTGCTGAACGGAAGCAAACAGAACTTGACCCTGCCTGGTGCCGCCAAGCTCAACCCCTCTATGTCTCTGGTGTCTCCTTGGTGTCTGGGCCAAGGGCCTCCCCAGGTTCTGGGAAGGACATGAGGGTGCCAACCTTAGAGCCAAAGTTCAAAGGGCCCTTGGGGGTCATTCTCTCCTCTATCTCTCGTTAGAATGAACGCCCAGCATCCTGTAAGGACCTTGAACCAACCCCACTCCCGGCCTCTCTTCTCCTGGACTCCCAGCACCCCACCTGCAATGGATGACAATGGGCCCAGCGTCAGGTGGGGTGGAGGCCTTCACGCGCCGGATGAAGGCCAGCAGCCCCGTGGCGTGGTAGGGGACGCCGTGCTCCGGCCACGCTGTGAAGTGGAACTGGCGGACCTCGTGCCGGGCAGAGTAGCCTCTCTGGGGAGACAACAGTAACTGCAGTTAGTCACCCCAGGCATCTATTAGATGCTTGCTGTGTGCCAGGATTTCAATCAGTCCCAATAATAAACTTAGGAGTGGGTGCTAACGCTCCTTGTACAAGCGAGAAAACTAGGGCTCGTGGAGGAGAAAGCCCTTGCCCCAGGTTAGCTACCCAGGACTGGGCAGGTCTGCCTGCTGCCTGCCCCTGCGCCACTGAACACCTACCTCTCACACCAGATTGTTGTTCTGACGCTCGGCTCTCAGTCTAAGACTAAGACCAGAGGGGCTTACAGAGGATCAAATGGGATCATGTATGGGAGGACTTGTCCACGGGCCCTGTGGCCTCTCATGAGTGATGTCACCACCCTGAGCCTCACTTTCCTCGTCTGTAAAATGGGGCTAATGGGAAATGCCTAATCCTAGAGCTTTCGGGGCTGAAACAGCATATGTGACACTCTCAGCAGTGTCCCGCACACAGTAAGACCAACAGCCAGCAACTATCGCAGCATCTTCAGTACCTCGACTTCCGCTTGGAGTCGCCAGCAAAGACAGCTTCTCGCCCTATCACGGTGCTCCCAGCAGGTATCAGGCAGCTGCCTAGTGGGAGGGCAGCAATGCCCTCCTCCCCCCTCCTGCTCCTGGGCTGGGGGAGGTGGGGAGGTGGGCTCTGCCCCGCCTCATCAGGCACCCCCCAGTCACCAGGTGACAGGAGACTCACCCGCTCCAGGGCAAAGGTGCGCACAACGTATTCTGCTAGCGTCTCCGTCTTCACCAGCGTGATCTTGATGTCCCCGTACATGTCCGAGTCTTCCGGCCAGTACCGCGAGCATTTCACCTGGAGTCCCCACGGGGCAGGCTCAGCGGGCTCTTCACTGCCCCCTCGGCCTGCCATGCCCCTGGCCCCACAGCCCGCTTACCCTGCCCACTTCCACCAGCTTGGTGATCATGACGATGCTCGAACAGTGCTCCTGCCACACCAAGCGCCAGAAGTCGTAGACCATCTCGGGCTTCGGCCCTGGAGGCACAGAGGGTGCTTGTCCCTGAGGCAAGGTCTCCGTCCAGGGCCAGCACCCCCGCTGCCCAGCATCAGCATTCCCGGCCAGGAGGCTCCTGAGTCCCAAGGGGGGCTTCATGCACACACCACCCACACCCCCACCAACTGCCAACTCAGGCCTGGAGGGCCCTGGGGACGGGCAGAACCGGGGAGGGCCTGGCTGGGGACCTGGGTCATCTTGAGTGGAACCCAGTAGGCAGAGCTGGAGGGCCATGGCCCAAGTCTCCAGAAAGGATGGACAAATGTACAGTCGGAAGGAAAAGACACAGCCAGAGGGACCCAGGCGGCCCCCAGACTGGGGCACAACCCACAGCTCGGAGGACTGAGCCTGGCTAGCCCCTTTGCATGCACCGCCTTGGGGACAGACAGATGGACAGGGAGCTACAGATGGACTGGGCACACCAGGGAGACACAAGCACAGGCAGGTACAAACTAACAGCCAGATTCCAGAAGATACAGCCAGGTTGGGGCTCAAACAGACAGAAACAGCAGAGAGACAGAGAGTCAAGCAGCTCGGTAGGGAAGACAGGAAGGTGGCTGAGGGCATTCGGCACACGGGGGCACACGGGCAGACGTGCCAGTTACCTTGAGTGGCTATGAAGTGGTTTGACCTGTGATAACCCTGGAATGAAGAGGAAGCAGTGAGACCTCAGGGTCTTCTCCGCCCTTCTCCCCAGAACAAGCACACCCCACCCTTTCCCCAGGACTTCCTGTCCCACCAGTCCCCAAGCAAGAAGGGAAGAGCAGCTGGGACACCAGTGTCTTGGGTCTAGATCAGCGGTTCTCAACCTGTGGTTCGCGACCCCTTTGGCGGTCGAACGACCCTTTCACAGGGGTCGCCTAAGACCATCCTGCATATCAGATATTTACATGACGATTCATAACAGTAGCAACATTACAGTTATGAAGTAGCAACGAAAATAATTTTATGGTTGGGTCACAACATGAGGAACTGTATTTAAAGGGCCAGAAGGTTGAGAACCACTGGTCTAGACCCATCTTTGCTGTGTGACCCCAGGGAGGACACACTCCTTTTATGGGCCTAGAGGGTCTCCCCGTCCATAAATTGGGAACAGTTATGCACAATCTGCTGGCAACCCAGCTGTTGTTTGGAGAAAAATAAAATCCAGGGTGATCCTGCCCTGTCCCCAAAGCCCCACGGGCCCTAAGCAACCCCAGACCCAGGGCTGGGGTTGTCAGCGATCCCAGCCCATGTGAGGCGACCAGAAGGGACAGTGCCCCGTCTACTTCAGTCACCCAGAGCTTGGGGGCCCAGAGGAAGGCTTCAGGTTGGGAGCAAATGAACACGGGTTACTCGTGGTTCTTAGATAAATATTTTTTAAATCCTTAAAAATCAGTAATAAATTTTGAGACCCTATTAAGGCCACCTACTGTGCTAAGCACTTTACCTGAATTATCTCCCACTAGAGATGCCAAGAGCTACTTCATCCTCCATGCCCAGGGCCCTCGGGCAGAGAAGAGGCACCGGCCAGACCCCACCCCTGCCTCACCCCTGCCCCAGGGCCACAGCTGCCCAGGGGGTCCTGCCCAAACGAGATACCCAGGGATTACATATAAGAAGTCCTGCAGGGCTGGAGCAAGAGAAAACCACCAAGGTCGGCCATTTGTCTCAAGTTCACGCCCTCCCTGAACTCCCACCCCAGGCCCAAGGAGCCCTGGAGCCAGACCACCAGGGTTCAAACCCCAGCTCTGTGGAGCTCTTGCTAACTTGTGTGCCCTTAGGCAAATCGCTTCACCTCTCTATGCCTCGATGTTCACATCTATACAACGGGAAAGACTCCAGTATCTACTCTACTTCCTCGGGCTGTTGTGAAGAGTGAAGTAACATATGTCAGGGTTTGGCACCAAGGCAAGCACAGTGTCAGGACTTAATCAACATAACTATCATTATTACGACTACTTCAAAGGTCAAAGAGTATGTTATCTTTCAAGATCCAAATAGTGTGGATGTCAAGAATTTCCGGGGCAGAAGGTGGTTTACTGTGAGGTTAAGAATCTTATCCTTGGAGTCAAGTTGACCTAGTTCTTGTCACAGCTCTGCCAAGTAGTAGCTATGTGACTCTAGAGCAGTGGTTCTCAACCTTCCTAATGCCGCGACCCTTTAATACAGTTCCTCATGCTGTGGTGACCCCCAATTTCATTGTTACAAATTGAACATAATTAAAGCATAGTGATTAATCACAAAAACAATATGTAATTATAAATGTGTTTTCGATGGTCTTAGGCGACCCCTGTGAAAGGGTCGTTCGATCCCCAAAGGAGTCACGACCCACAGGTTGAGAACCGCTGCTCTAGAGACTAAAGGGCACTTCTCAGCCTCTCATGTGCACCTGGGGATCCAGTTAAAAGGCGGATTCTGCTGCAGAAGGTCTAGGGTGGGGCCCAAAACTGTGCATTTCCAACCACCTCCCAGGTGGTGCTGATGCTGGGCCTCAAAACACTTTGCGTAGCCAGACTCTCAGCCTCTCTAAGCTCGGTTCTCCTCGGCATAATAGGAGACATGCACCTCAGAGCCCACAACACAGTCAAAGACACCAATAATGAAAAGCCGCCCAGACTCACTCAGCCCTCACTACCGGACTTCTCCCGGTCTAGCCCAATGCCCTTCTGCTGTCTCCCGAGCCATTGCCTCTGCTCTGAGTCCTCAGCAGAGCTGCTGGGCAGCTGGGGTTAGAGGGGAGGGCCCAGCGAGGGTGCCACCAGTGCTGCCCTCTCCCCAGTGCCGGTCAAGCTGGGAACAGGCTACTCCACCTAAAATAAAACCCACTTGCCTGAGAGCCCACATGGGAGCAAGAGCCTCTTCAGATTCATCCATGTCTCTCTCTCTCTCTCTCTCTCTCTCTCTCTCTCTCTCTCCAGGGCTCAGCACCCGCCCACATGCTAGTCAGCAAATGCAAGTTTTTAAACAGATAACCCTCAATATATGCACTTTTTAATTGTGTACATGCATTATTGCATAATTATATTACATAGAGGACAGTGAAGTAGAAAGTTTAAAACAATCAGATTTAAAGGAAGAGAAGGGATCCATCTTGAGCAAACCCACTTCAGAGACCAGCATTACAGAGAGAGCTCTGGTCCTCACACTCCAGGGCATCAGCATGTCCTAGGAGCCTGACCCCGCCCCCACCCCTCCCTGCAGCCTCCAAGCAGGTGGAACTGGGAGACCAACCACTGGCATCGTGGGCGAGACCCCCAGGGCTCCTGATGCTCCCCAAAGGGGAAGAACCACAGTCCAGTGTGAGAATTGAGTGCTCAGGCTGGGGTGGAGGCCCGGCTCCATGCAGTTGTGAACAAGTCACCTAACTTTTCTAAGTCTCGATTTTCTCATCTGCCAAACTCGGGTCCCCCAGCTTGCGGAGTGTGGTGAGGATGATGTGCTAGCACAGCACAGCAGCACTCATGTTGACTGCTGTGTGAAGACTTTAAGCCAAGGCTTCTGAGGGTGTTTCTTAAGGGTCTGACAACAAAGAGCCAAAAGGGTGGGCTGTGTGTTGTGCGGAAACAGGACATACAGAAGTATAACCACCTATATTCATCACCTCTTAATGGAGGTGCGAGGGCCGAGTGCAGCCACTGCACTTCGTGGGTCTAATGCCCCATTTAAATTTGGGAACCTCACAGAATAAGCACCCCCAATGTAAGGGGGTGTCTGGGAGCACATCTGCAGTAACTGGTCACCTCCAGCAGATGCGACTGCAGGGAACTTTCACTTTACATTAGGCGTCTCCGTGTTGTCTGATAATGAGCCATATTTTTGCAATCATAAAAAAAAAAAAGCAAGAAAAATATTTTTTAAAGAAATGAGGAAATTAAAATAGAAAAGGTATCCACAAAATAGCAAACAATCCCATTAGGCATCAAATATTGTGAAGATAATCTATACTAATAAAAGGGTAATATGCTAATTAGACCGGGAGATCTTCTGGACATCCTTCCGGACAAAGCCATGGTGACGGGGCCGAAGCAGAGGCGGTTAGGGGCGATTAGGCC